GATAAATAAAAAGTATTAGAATATGAAGAAAGTGGATGATTAGGGCAATAACTGAGCAGTTAATATGTGTCAGGTACTGTAGTAAAGTCATAAGCTCATTTAATTGATGTTTATCCTATGAGTTAGGAAATGTTAGCCTGCTTATTTACAGCCCAGGGAACCAAAGCTGTGAGGGGTGAGTAATTTGCCCCAGTCTCCGACTGGCAGAGCTGGGATTCCCTGTTGGATATATCTGAATCCAGAGCCTGTGCTCTCATCATTATGCTTATAACTAGGTATAGCTTTAGTTCATTTAATTTTGTAATTTGACTGTTTTTACAAGCAACATTATAATCCATGGTAATTATTTTGTGTTTTATCCTGTATAAGATAAAGTGTGCCTGAAGCTGGCTTTCTCTTTCCTGTTTCTTTTTATTTCTAAAAATATTTTTATTGATTTCAGAGAGGGAGGAGAGATAGAAACATCAATGGTGAGAGAGAATCACTGATCAGCTGCCTCCTGCACGCCCCCTTCTGGGAATAGAGCAGGAAACCTAAGCATGTGTCCTTGATCATACTTGAACCCAGAACCCGTCAGTCCATAGGCTGAAGCTCGAAGCTCTATGCACTGAGTGAAACCAGCTAAGGCCCATTTGTTTGTTTTTCAATTTTTCTCACCCATCAGCGACATAGGGCCCCTCTTTTTGTCTTGATTCATCAATAACATCTAGGGCCTCTAACTGCTCAGCAGGGAACTAGAGTACCTAAACATTTTAAATGGCTAGCAATAATTATACACATTAATCACTTGGGAAGCCATGAGTAACCTACAACCCTTGAGGCACAAATGAAAATGTAACAGCACTATTTATTTTTATTTTTAAAATAGATTTCAGAGAGGACAGGAGAGAGAGATCAGTGATGGGAGAATCATTGGTTGGCTGCCTCCTGCATGCCCCACACTGGGGATTGAGTCTGCATCTCGGGCATGTGTCCTGACCACAATCTAACGGTGACCTCCTGGTTCATAGGTCAATGATCAACCACTGAGCCCCCTAGCCAGGCTAACTGCACTATTTAAATTATGACCCCAGGAAATGTCACTGCTGAGGGTGTTTCCTATACAGATAAATATGGCTTAAAGAAGTCCCTGATCTACCCTAGCTGGTGTGCGAGTTCTTTTACCTAAAAGAGCAGTTCTTGCCTCAGGTTTTTTCCCGTTTCTCCCTCTCAGCGCAAACCAAGCTCCACATCCCCCACACAAATTAGACGATTAGTCTACCGCGGATGATGTCTTACCAACATAGGTCTTTTCCTTCTCTGCTTAATAATTGGTTTGATGATGCTCTCGCATATCATCTTAGCCCTTTACTTCGCCAGTCAGCTAGCATTCGATCATCTATGTCTTCTAGTCTTATCACATGGCTAGCCTGCCAGCAGATTAATGATAAGCTCAGCCTTGATGTCTGGAAAGTGAGTGCTTTCATCAGATAGCAATGGACAGTGTTTTGTCATTTGATAATGGCTTCCCAGATGGCTATAATGTATCTCATTTTATATTATCTACACTGTTTTTGATCATTCATTCCCATCAGTATATTCTTGAGGAGCATTTATTAAACAAATATACTGTATGTATACTTATTTATTTTTTAAAAATGTATTTCTTTATTGATTTCAGAGAGGAAGGAAGAAGAGATAGAAACATCAGTGATGAGAGAGAATAATTGATCGGCTGCCTCCTGCACACCCTCCTACTGGAGATCAAGCTCGAAACTCAGGCATGTGCCCTTGGCTGGAATCGAACCTGGGACCCTTCCGTCCACAGGCTGACGCTCTATCCACTGAGCCAAGCTGCCTAGGGCACTGTATGTATATTTATTCATCAAGTATATACATATGCTACCATCATTAGCTTATACCTCAAATACAATATATGCCTAGGGTGAAGTTCATTGTTAACGATAAAGCTTATTTATCTACATTTCAAATAATCTTCTTGATGAATTATCTTTTTTAAACCAAAATTTGGTTGGATTTACTAGATTTTTATTTTAACTTAAAATGTGGCCGTCGAGGAGCTGATCCTAGAAGTGTCAGTTCTGTCATTTGTTTTACTGTGGTTTCTTTGCAGGGGACTCTGGTAAAGTCACTTGTTCATTTTCTATGGGTTTGTTTCATGAAACCTAGATAATGTAATCAGTACATCCACTTAACTGGACCTAGCAAACTTCAGTATGTCACTACAAGTTGGCAGAGACTGACTGATGGGACCACCACACCCAACCCCTGGAAATGGGTAACTCCCACTTTTCCTTGAGGACATCTGTGCTGTTCTAGGCCAAGAAACCATTCCATGGACGTGTGCAGAGCTATATACTCATTCTGTACATAAACATACTAGTTGAGCTTAATGCTCTTTTTTCCCCCCAATTTGAATTAAGGATAAATATATGTTCTCTCCTACATCCCAAATGGATTGCCTTGCACTCTTCCCGGAGTACACACACTCCTTGGATGCATGGGCCTCCTTTGGAAACTATTAAGGAGGTACAGTGTCAAGGAACAGCTTTTCACATAGGCAAGGATGTTTTGATTTAAAAAGGTCTGCTCATTTTAGTGACTCCGCCATTTTATAGAAAGGGAAACAGTTTTGAAATGAATTGTCTTTATAGAGACCCATAATTTGCAAGCAAAATTCCCACTCTACAAAATGTGAAATGTTCTAAGCAACAGCTGTGAGCTTTTCAAACGTGCACTACTCTTTAACGGTTCAACTGTTGCCAAGGGAAATGGAGTTGGCTTTAAAAATCTTCCTTTAATGCTGCATTTACCCTCAATCAGAGATTGACTGAACAAGTTCTTGGACAGTGTTTTCATAAAGACTGGTAAAAGAAATGGAGAAGTGGAAATTTAAGTTTCCTTAAGGTAGGAGGCTGGTATTTTAGCCAATTTTATAGGGCCTCATGAACTTTTATCAGAGCAAATATGGGCACTGTTAAAAGTGCCCAATCACTTGGAGTCAGTAGAGCGAGCCTGCTTTCACCCGACAGCCATCTTTTCCTGTTCCCAGCTCAGTTCAAGACAGGAATATTTTGTATCTTTCAGGGCACAAAAATTTTCTTTTCTACTCAGGAGCCATTTCTGGGAATGAGCCTAGAATTGTGTAAAGCTTGATGGTTAACATAAACAAGAGAAATGCAATGCATTTTTTTTTTTTTGGGTCACCACTTGCACATATGGTATATATAGTTTTATTTACTGATGGTTCTATTTCCTATGGAAATAGATATGGATGTATGGAAAACATGATACAATACTGAGGGGAAAAACTAGGCTACAGAACAACGCATATTAAAAGAAAAAAAATACTACTTGAGGGAAGTACACTAAAATGCTAACAGTGGTTAAGGGATTATGAGTGTTAATTATTCCCCTTCCCCATTTATTAAGTATCCTGCCTTTGGAATTAGCATTAAGAATTTCTTTTTTTCTATTGATTTTTTTTACAGAGAGGAAGAGAGAGGGATAGAGAGTTAGAAACATCGATGAGAGAGAATCAGCGATCTGCTACCTCCTGCACATCCCCTACCGGGGATATGCCCGCAACCAAGGTACACAAGCCAATGCTCTATCCATTGAGCCAAACCGGCCTCGGCAGAATTAGCATTAAGAATTTCTTTCTCGCCCAGCCGGGTGTGGCTCAGCAGTTGAGTGCCCACCCAGGAACCAAGAGGTCACACTGGTGGGGCACATGCCCGGGGTTGCCGACTTGATCCCCAGTGTGGGGCGTGTGGAGGCAGCCAATCAATGATTCTTTCATCATTGATGTCTCTATGTCTCTCTTCCTCTCTGAAATCAATAAAAATGTATTAAAAAAATTTCTTTCTTCCTTTCCCTCCCACCCCCTTCCCACAAAAGAGGTATGTAGAGTGCACCCAAATAGAGTGTCCAAGAATATTATCTGGAAACGCACCATTTGGCCTAGGGTTCGCCAAGGACGCAAACACATTTTAAAATATTTTATCACTTGTTCTAGCTAGAGCTAAGTGAAAGCTTCTGCACAAACTCCTTCTGATCCACCCGGCCAATTCAAAGCTGCTCCCAAGTTCGTCCAGCGCCGCGCTGGGGTTTCTGAGCTCGGGGCGGTTGGAGGGACGGTGCGGAGGACCTCAGTGCCAGCAAATGATTGCGGAGCGTGGTCAGCGTCCCCACCTGTACAAGCCACAACGAGCCGCCCTCAAACAAGGCTTGCAGGAGCGTCAGGGAGCTGACATTAAAAAACAAACAAACAAACAAGGGGTTTAGGGAAAAGGAGACGAGGTGAGAGAGAATTGGAAGCGATACCTAACCCTTGGCCAGGCCCCAGGGGCTCAGATTTCGGTGCCAGGTCTCCCACAAGCTTCAGCGGGGAGCGATTGCCGGGGGTTGCACAGCAGGCTGCAAGGGACCTGTTGGCACAGGCGCGGGTGGGTATCTTATTTCTGTCCTGAGTGGGGCTCCTCGAGCCCAGAAGGGTCATCCTGGCCTCTGAAGGGGGGCGGAATCCCAGCCCGGGGTGCCCCCACCCTTAGCCGATCGTGGCCTTGGAATCCTCTGGTTGAAGACGATCGCCGCCCAGAGGTTTCGCAATCCGTGGAAACCCATTCCATTGATGTGTCTGTGGTGGCACAGCTCCCGGGTTTAGGGAGCTCCTCTCAGGCCTGGCGGCTGCATTGACCATGGTCTTCCAGCCATCCTGCCTCCTGGCGGAAGCGGCTGCAGCGCCGCCGGAGCGCTGGGCTGCTGCATCCGGGTCCCTCGCCCGAAGCCCAATCCCCGCTCTCCTCTCTTCCCACTCTCCAGTTTCCCCGCCCCCTCCCGCCGCCGCCAATCCCTGACCGGCTCTCAGCCGCACATGCTGGCATGGGAGTGAAGGCGGGCGCCGGCCAGTGAGGCCTCGCTTCCCGTTTGAAGCATCCAATGAGCGGGCGCCGGGGGCGGGCGCTGCTGCCCAGAAGGTTCGGTTGCGCGTGTGCCATGGACTCAGCCGCCCGGTGATATTGACAATAGGAGAGAGAAAGGGGCATTGACGGGCACCCACTGCGGGTACCGAGCGGGCGACTCTGGCAGCGGCGGCTCCAGCTCCGGCGGCTCCTCCTCCTTCGCCTGCTGCCGCTGCGGATCCAAGTTTTCCTCCCTCCCTTCCCCCTTCCCACGTCGCCGCCGCCGCCACCGCCGCCGCGCCAGGTCCGGGGCAACGAGCTGAGGCGCCGCCCGCCGGGAATGTGAGCGAGGAGCCGCCGGCGGAGCCGCAAAGGGGGTCGGTGCCGATTTGATGGGACGGGCCCGAGGGGGAGGATCGTGAGGCCGCCGCCGCCGCCGCCGCCGCCGGAGCGCCGAGGTTCAGGTCCGGCCGTGAGGCCTAGAGGCGCCGCCGCCGCCGCCGCCGCCGCGGAACCGGAGGGACGCCGCGCCGGACAGCCTTCGCCCCGGGCTCCCCGCCGCTGCCCGGACCTCCTCCCGCAGGTCGGGGTCCCGCCACCCGCCCCCGCAGCGGCCCTCTCGCGCGTCTCCCGCCCCCCAAAGCCTCAGATCATCTTCGGATTCTTCCCCAGAAGCTTCAAGGTAACTTCGTCCCCCCAGCTCCGGGGGTTCGCCCGCTTCTCTGCTTCCTCCCTGTCTTCCCGGGGAGCCTGCGGGGCACCGGCCGCGGGAAGGCCTGGCCGGGGGCAGGCAGGCGAGGAGTGCGGTGGGCTGGCTGGGGTGCCGGAGAGGAGGGCCCGTCCCACTTGTCTGATTTACCTGCAAATGCTTCGGCTGATGCCTCTCCTGCACCCCTCGCCTTCACCGCTTTCCTCTGCACCTTCCGGCATCGGAGGCGTGTTCTCGGACCCCTGCTCCCCTGACGGACCGGGCGGGGAGAGAAGGGGCGATGGGTGTTGTGATGGGTGTTGTAGCAGCTTATCTTCTGGGCTTGCGGTGGGGGTGGGTAGGAGCAAAGTGAGTCTGTGAAGCTATGTCTGCAGACGAACCTCCTCTTCCCCGTGGTGGTTCTCCACCCCATTACCTCCCTTGGATTATCCTGAGGCTTGGAAATGCCCGGTGCTTGGAGGAGGATGGAGCTTCGGGCGCCTCGGTCCAGCGCGAAACCTGTTTCCCCGGGCTCTGCCCCGCTGTTGCCGCCGCACGTTCAGTTCTGCGGCGCTCCAGGGATGAGGTCCTTGACGTTGATTCTTGGCCGCGGACAGAAGGGCCAAGGGATTAAAAAAAAAAAAAAAATTTGCTACCAATAAGCCACTTGTACAGGTGGGAGACGAGGAATAAAGAAGAGATAAGAAGAGTAATGGAGGAACAGGATTTACTGAAATATTGGGTTGTTACGGTTAAATGAAATCTAAATAATTCACATGCCAGATGGGGAAAGCGGGCCCCTAAATTTACACTGTACAAATGTGATGGGGAGCTTTCCGCTGATGCAGTCATTATGAAGAATTTTAAGTGATCTTCCTTCTTCTGTGGTCCTACATAGTTTACAATTCCGTTTTGAATCTGTCACATAGTATTTGATGAACAGATAAATTTCTAAAAACTTAAAAAAAAAAAAAGAGAACCAGAATTTCAACCCTCAGTATCATATGGTTTTGTGTGTGTGTATGTTTGTGTTTTTGTACGTGTGTTTTTTAATGTTTTTGTTATTTTTACTTTATCAGAAGCTAGGTTATTGAGATAACTTTTTATTCTTACATGTTTAGAAAGAAACTAGCTTACCCTTTCATTTAAACATTTGTCTTCTGTTTGGAATGACAGCATTTCCCTCATATACATTATTTCTATTCCAGTCTGCCATTAATCTTGCAGGGAAATAATGGCATCTTTTTAAATTGTTGAATGAAATTGAGTTTAACATGTTACTTTTAGGAAATAGCCTTCATTTTAATAATTTGACAGGATTAAAAAACCCAAAAGAACTGTTCAGTTTCATCAGTTTGATGGAATGAAAATTAATATTTGATAATGAACTTCAAGGGAACTCAGCTTGGTGGTCTAAGTGGGCTGTGGATTTAAGTTTTCATTTCAACTTTGGTGCATGATTTCATCATAGTTTTGTTTATTAAGCTTTAATAACTTAAGATGCCTTCATTAAAAAAGATGTCTTTGAAATGATTTTAATTATGCCTTTTATGTGTTCTGTTTAAAGTAATGTAGCCTGTTCTTATTTGCAGTGTGTTGTAGTTTATCATAGCAAACACAGCCAGCAAATTGCATTAAAAGTCATGCCTAGATAGTTTCAGTAATTGTAAATGTCACTTGCTGCGATACATTGGTGTAATGCTTGAAGTACGATACGGGTCCCATTCATAATATTAAATATCTTGGGAAATTGTATTAATGGAAGTTTTCCAGCTGTAGAATACCTCCAACATTACTTCAGGATTCTTAAGATGAGAGGAGCTTTATTGTTAGAAATGAGTAGATAGCATAGAATTTTTCAAGTCTAAATGAGCATCTTTAATGCTTATCATAGCAGGAACAGCATAATACATTAGAATTACAATATTGCTTATATGGTAGTTATATTACTTCTGTTTGTCACCAGATTTTTATTTTGTCTCATTGAATATGATTTTCCTTAGTTGATTTTTATTTGCTTTATTACATATTCTCATTTTCATGAATATTATATATGGGAATTTTAGAATTTGTGCAACTCACATTTATGCTTTAGCCTTGGGAATCTGTTTACGTTGCCTCTTTCTCTTCAGTAGGGATATGTCCTCAGCACCAACTACTCCTCCATCAGTGGATAAAGTAGACGGATTTTCTCGGAAGTCCGTCAGAAAAGCCAGACAGAAGAGGTCGCAAAGTTCCTCACAGTTTAGGTCTCAAGGCAAGCCTATTGAGCTAACACCTCTGCCACTGCTGAAAGGTAAGGCTCATGACCAGGTGATGGGTTCCTTTTCAGTTGATCTTTTTATATCTATATATAATTTCCTTTTTGTAGAGTTTGATATTTGTTAATTTTTTGTGTCACAAATTGAGGGATGGGAGATTTCAGACTTGAAGTTTTTGGTGTGTGATCAGATACGTCCTTTCTCCCCTTTAAAGGGCTCAATTTAATATAAATAACTGTGGATAAATGAAAATAACTTATTATCAGGAGGATCTCTCACATTGATAAGCAGGAAAATTGACTGCCAGAGAAACTTTAAGATATCTGGGTCTGTATTTTTCATTTGACATTTCGATGTACATGCTGTGTGCAATGACAATTTCAAATTGCACAGTCTTAATTATAGGAAGTAGACCTAATAGAGGAGAGGTACCATTAACTTACATATAAAAAATGATGTTTGAAAGATTTCATTTTTAAAAATCAAGAAAAAAGATGGTCAGGTAGTAATTGATTACATACATTCTTGTTTTCAGATAGTACAAATAAAAAGTATATGTGGTGATCTTTCTTGTTTGATAATATTTTTCTCTTCACATTGGAATATATTAAGGACTAGTTTTTAAATATGAACTTGTATTTCTAAATCAGACCTTTCAACTTTTGTTTAGGTAGGTGGATACTTTTGGTTGCTTTTTAAATTTTTATCTGTTAGCTTTATGTTCATGAACAGGCATTGTTTGAAATGTGTTGAAACTTAGCATCTATGTCATGGAATCTATCAGAATCTACCTTTGAAGGTGGAGTTTTGTCTGCCTCACGCTTAAGAGCAAAGAGAAAGGGGACATGCACAATATAAGGCACTATTTCAAAAAGGCTGACTAACATAGCTCTGGTTTCTTTACCAGTGATGACATCCTCTTTTACTATTTCAAAATATTTTTCTCCCCTTTGTATTTGAAAATTTTATAAAAACAATCAGGGATCTTATTATTAGGTTACAGTAGAATTAACCATAGGAACATATTGATTGAACAATTATTGTATTGTTACATAATATATACTTAATATATGTATTGCAATAATATATATTATCTAAGGAAGGCAGGTGGCCTTCCTGAGGTAAGAATAGAAGCCCTGGGGTCACACATAAGTAGGTTTCAATTTTGGGTCCACTCATAGCAATGTGACCTCTAGACAATGTTTTTTTTTGAAAATCTCCAAAATTAGGAAAGTAGTAGTAGTATTTAAAAAATATATTTATTTATTAAATTGATTGGGGTAACATTGGTCAACATGAACATACAGGTTTCAGATATGGGTCTCTGTGTTACAAGATCAGTATATTGCACCATGTGCCCACCACCCAAAGTCCATTCTTCTCCTGACTCCTTATATTAGGATCCCCCTTCTCCTCTGCTTCCTCTAGAAAAGTATTAGAATTTACCTCAGAGAGTCAATGCCTTCAAGTAGGTAAAACATTTAGTTCAGTGCTGGGTACATTGTAGGAGTTGAATATTAATTATTATAAGTATAAGGAAGAACTGTGTAATAGAAAATGCTTAGTTGATTTACATTTTTTTTAAATACATTACATGGATTATTTTCATTTAAGGAAGAAAAATATGGAGCATGTATGTGTAGCTGTGAGAATTAGACTTTTAAAGCAAAAGGAGAACTAGATCTTTTGGAGCAATCTCAGCATTACAGTTTAGTTAACATTAGTTTCACACTGACTTCTGATTTCAGGAATAAGAACTTAAAAAGGCAAATATAATTTATTTTCAAGGTAAATTCCATTTGTGGAGAATTACTAGATAATATTTTTGTTAAATAACTTAATTGGCAATTGTCTACTAGGACAGGTTCTCCAAACATTTTTTGTAACTGGTTACTTCTATCAGTAAAAATAACATGCACAAAGTATCCTAAAAAATGTATATACACACTTTGAATAAGTATAAAGGCAGTGCTTATTAAAATACATTTTATTTTCAAAATTGAGCTATCAGTTGTGAAAGTGGTATACATTTTTTGGGGACACCCTGTATATCTATTTATACATTGCATTCTTGTGCTATTATACAAATATGTAATGTTTCTGAAGAACATACATGAACAAAGGAAGTTCTAAAGGATGATATTGAAAAATAAAATGTAAAGAGTTCTAATTCTTAATTTTTGTACCTCCTTTCCCTTGCTCATCCCCAATACATGCACTGCCCCTAGCACATCCTTGTTTTGAGATCTTGCTTCTAAGAGTGAATGAACCGCCTCTTCAGGTTTTGAGCCTTGTCAGTTTTGTTGCATTTTGTTTTTGAGCCACAGAGAGAGATGAAGAGGTGAATGAGAAAACTTCTTCGTTTGTCCAGGTTTTGAATTTATTGCACTTCAAAGAAACAAAATCTGAATTGAGAATTTTGCCAGTTTCAGGCGTATCATAGGTGGCTCTTTGTCCAGGGCTCTTACCTTGCTGTTGGTGGGTGGGTTTCAGGGGGCCCTTGACCCTCTTGAAATTCTAGATGTTTTTTTTATGTCTGTGTGCAGATTGACATTTTTTAGGGCAAAGGCTGTAGAGCTTTCAGCAGATTTTCTCCGAAGGCTAGGGAACCCCTGCTTTGGGTAGTAGGCATCATTTTCCTAACTCAGAGCGGAGAGAGATAACTTGTCGTATAATCCCTTTCTGTAGGAAGGAGACCTCATGAGGTTTCTTCTGCATGTCTCTCCTGACTTTTAATTCTTTTTTTTTATGTCAGGAAGAATTCTAAAAAGTGTTTGAAGGTAGAAGTTATTGCATGACTATAGGGGGGTTGTTTGAAAAATTAAGCTAGGTAACTAGGACTACCAATTGTAAAATTGAGTGTGCCTATGAAAAAGCATTTTCCTGGAATAGCGGGGAACCTGGAAGAAGTTGGGAGGAGAAACTCAAGCTATCTTTGCTGGTGAATAAATAGTTTAATGAAGCAGTGCTGTCGGTTCTGCTGTGTGCCAGGCGATTAATATATGGTGTCACATTGAGCTTCCCAACAACACCAAGAACAGATCGTCTGCAGTTAACTGAGCCAAGTGACTTGCCCAGTCCTGCAGAGAGAGCCAGGGTTGGGACCCCAGGCCCTTCAGGTTCCAGAGCCAGGGCCCGTTATGCACACTAGCAGTAGATGAACACAGGTGAGCATGGGAGCTAATTGCCATCTTGTTCATGTTGGGCTGGGATTATGTACTAAGTGAATCATCTTACTACCTTTGGAAGGAACCTGAAAATTGTGAGGATACTGAAGTGATAAGGAAGAGAAGCAGAGAGAAGAAGGGAAGAAAGGCCAGGCAGGCATTTATAGGTAGGTGGTGTTGGGGAAGACTCATGGTAGAGTAGTGGGCCTCAGGGCAGCCAAGTGACAGGCAGAAAGGGTAGCCAGCATCTCACAATGGTTGGGAGGAGAAAGATGCTGCTCTGGGCTCCTGTAGGACTCAAATGCTGTCACAGTAAAGGCATGTCAGCCATGGGGAGGTTTGGTTTGGTAAACTGGTAGCATTCTGGCAGTGGTGTCCTTTACCATTCATCTTTCCATTTAGGGGAATTAGCTTGTTATAGGAAGGGATGTAGGTTCAAGCCCAGGTGATTATTCTAGCTTTGTGAGCTGAGCTTGGTGAACTGAGTGTTGGAGTTTCAATTTCCATTCTTTTAAAAAAAAAAATATATATTTTATTGATTTTTTACAGAGAGGAGGAGAGAGGGATAGAGAGCTAGAAACGTCGATGAGAGAGAAACATCAACCAGCTGCCTCTTGCACACCCCCTACTGGGGATGTGCCCACAACCAATGTACATGCCCTTGACCGGAATCGAACCCGGGACCTTTCAGTCCGCAGACCGACGCTCTACCACTGAGCCAAACCGGTTTCGGCTCAATTTCCATTCTTATAAAATGGGACTGATATTTTCCGAGGTGGTAGTGAAGGGTGAGATCAGGTGGATAAACTGCCTAATGTGTGTTTGGTTGCTTAATAAATATTCCTCTGTTATCATTCTGTTTGTCATCCATCTTTCTTTGAGTTACTCCTCTGAACCTGGATCTTGTTTCAGAACACAAAGTGTTGTAAGGGGAGATCTGGCCAAAGTTCATCAATTTATGTGGTCACCATGAAAGACTTTCATTTTATGGTGATGTTACCAGTATATTTTAATTTAATTAATTCTGGTTGTTTGTGCCTGGAACACTGTTCAAAGTAAAATGGTAAACATTAAAAAGAACATGGAGAAAATTGGGACTTGGCATCATTTCAGGAAAAGTACTGTCTTCTAATAAGGAAGATACAGGCTTTCGAATTATCCTTTTTTACCAAAGCATCCTTAGAAGAGGATATCTGGAAATAGAAGGGGGTACTTCTCTGTCACGTTTTTTTTTTTTTTTTTTTTTTTTTAATTCCCTGATTATTGCTTTCATGGCATCCTACAAATTTTTTTTTAATATATATTTTATTGATTTTTTACAGAGTAAGGGAGAGAGATAGAGAGCCAGAAACGTCGATGAGAGAGAAACATCGACCAGCTGCCTCCTGCACACCCCCTACCGGGGATGTGCCCGCAACCAATGTACATGCCCCTGACCGGAATGGAACCTGGGACCCTTCAGTCTGCAGACCGACGCTCTACAACTGAGCCAAACCGGTTTCGGCCTCTGTCACATTTTATAAGGACATACAGTGAGGCTTCTGAGTGGGTTCAGGCTTCTAAAGAGCTATCTGAAATTATCCCTTGAAGTCACAGATATCGTGTGACTTGCACGACATAGGCATATAACACTTTCTTTTTCAATGAATATTTTGGAATCCAAGGACATTTGTAGCAAAAATGAGTTTCTTTTGAGGGTCAGGAAGCTACTTCAATCTTTGTCTCATCAATATAATTTTCCAAAAAGATAGTGATGCATCAGAAGGGCTGGTGTTTTTACCTAATTTGTGAGCAGAAGTCAAAATGACTTGAAAGCACATTGATATAAGCTGTCCTTCCATGTTTCTATCTACATTTGATCTCCATCT